CTTGGGGATGACTGTTTCATAGGAAGAATTATATACAGATCCTATGTCACAGAATGTGCTTGGGAGAAAAATCAGTAGCACCAAGATCCCTACTCTGACAGATGTGTGTCCTGGCACTAGTCTCAGACCCAGGTTCCAATGCTGTGCAGCCCAGATGTGAGGTGTTAGCTTAGCTTCCTTTAAGGCTACTTTCCTGATCTGTAGGGAAGAGAGACTGGAGGCAAACCCTCTCACCGATGCTGCCACTGACATGGCTCAAACCAACTGTTGATAATACAGAATCTATGTCCATCAGCGGCAGCTCTCTCTGCTTTCACAGACCCAGGAACCCAGACCAGAGCCTGTGCCTGACGGGGTGCTACCCCAGCATGAATCCTATGGCCTCAGGCTGTCTCTCTGTTCTTTCTTTTCTCCTGGCCTTGGTGGTTCCGTACAGCACAGGGACTTCTGTCAAGTGGAAGAGCTTCAGTGTTGCTTTTCAGTGTTGCTTAAGTTCCTTTGCCGTTGTTCATGGAGGTGAGCCCTGTATGTAGTGACTCAGCCAGTTCTGTCCGTTAGATCATCGTTCATCCTCCACAGGTCATGGAGCCCTGACATGTTAACCTGTTCATACTTTCAGACTCAACATTCTGCAGGGATGCGGGGGAGGGGACAGAGTTCTCTGGGTTCTCTGAACAATTAAGAGTTCTCTGTTGTCCTGCCTTGTTCCTCATTCTTACAGTGGTCATGCTGGATGGATAGCTAGTTCTCTTATTCCTGACTGCCTGATTCCTTTCACTGGCAGGCACACACACGCGCACACACACACACACACGCACGCACACATGCAAGCATACACGTATAGTATTTAGATGTTCTACTTTCCCTTATCCTTGTATCTACCAAATGAATTCTGCCATTAAAACATGATCCTTCTCTATGGAAAACTTTTTGTAAGGCATAAGTGTTATATGATCTTATTTTTACCACAGAAATGTATCAGAGCCTGAAATCTATAAAAATAAAAACAGACTGGTGACTCTAGTTACAGTAACAAAGAAGAAGGAAGTGAGCTCTGGAAGAACCTTAAACTCCACACTTGTCTGTCTGCAGTGGGCGTGCACTGTCCATCAAGTCTGGGGCTTCAGTCTCATGTCAGTGCTCTTCCTGTATTCCGCATTATCCATTAGAAGGAGAACAGAAGTTGTGTGAACATATTCTTTCACCCATTTCTTCATTCTCATGCATATTTTAGCTAAATAAAACTCTTATCTTCTATGTGGCATAAAAATAATTTTATAAGCCAAATATTTACACCATAAATCATACAAGGTGTAACTACAGGTAACACTTGGGATTGTAGAAATGCCCTGCTTGATTCAGAAAGGTGGTACATTTCTGTAATCCCAACACCCAGGAGACACAGACAGGAGGATCACAAGTTCAAAGCCCACATGGTCTTTGTATGAGTTCTGAGCCAGCCAGAGATACAAAGCAAGACCTCTCAAAAAACAAGGACACACACACACACACAAAATGGAATTAGATATTGGATGTCATCAAGAGAAAAATATATATGTATCTCCCTTCAGCCAGTGATGCTTCCCTCCTATCAGACAGCGTCAGCATTTAGCAGACAGTGCACACCCTCACTTCACACTCACTGACAATGGACAGGAAGGTGAGGGTCCTCAGCTGCACCGAACATCAGCCACTAATTCAAAACCTCTTCCAAGTACTTGTTCTGGAAATGATCAAAGCTATTCTTCTGTTTCCCTGTGTCAGAACTAACAAACATAACAAAGGTTAAGGCATAAGACAAACCAAGAATCAATAATGGAAAAACAGTCTACCTTTTAAACTTAAAAATATGTAATTAAAATGAAATAGTCAATTTTCCAGTTCTCAAATTGAAACTCATTTTCTTCTGATACACAAGATCGGATTAAAAGCTTCTGACTTCTTTACCAAGAGTATATTCTATTCTTTCAACTTGTTCTTTCTCACATGTATAATGAACAGAACTCTTAAAGAGCTGGAGAGATGGCTCAGTAGTTAAAAGCACTGGCTTCCAGAGGTCCTGAGTTCAATTCCCAGCAACCACATGGTGGCTCGCAACCATCTGTAATGATGGGATCCAATGCCCTCTTCTGGCCTGCAGGTATACTTTCATGCAGAATGCTGTATAAGTAACAAATAAAAACCTTAAAAACAAACAAACAAACAAACAAAAAAACCTGTAACTCTTAAAAAAGTAATTCTTATGGTGATATTTCAAAAAATAAAAATAAAACTTCCACTGTTGGTGGCTGCCCAGGCCTTTGATCCTAGCCCTGCAGAGGCTTAGGCAGGTGGACCTCCGAGTTCAAGGCCAGCCTGGTCTATAGAACAAGTTCCAGGAAAGACAGGGTACACAAGAGAAACCCTGGGTGTGTGTGTGGGGGGAACAAGTAATAAACAAATATCGGGGTAGCGTTTTCCTTTGGGCACACAGCATATGTGAGCAGCTGTAACTGCAGTGAGGTGGAAAGTGTCTGAGCCACAAGCAGTGGTCTCAGTGAGCAGGCCTAGTGATGGAATGGAGGCAGACTGGAGACAAGGGCCCCACCCCCCGCTGCTTTATTGGAGCTGTTCTTGTAATGTTTCCTAATGTTTCCACAGATCTCGGTGGTAGGCAGGCAGGGAATAGAAAGCTAGGGGCAGATTGTGTATTATTAGCAAAACTGGCTCATGTTAAAACATAACTTACCACTGGCCTAGAAATATATAAACCAAACTGTGTTCTGATTTAGGGTGCCCAGTCACAAACAGCAGGGAGTTGCTGCTGTTTAGGGGATTTTTGAGTGACAAAAGCCAGGACATCTCCAGGGGCTTTTTTTTTTTTTTTTTTTTACAGACATCCAACATAGTTGTCATCTGGACGAGCAGGTACAGATTTCATCATGGAGCAGATGAATTTAGCTTAAAGCTGCTGAGACACACGCCATGCTCAGAGGAAAAGCAGCCATTAAGATGTGTGTCCGTCCCTGCCATTCTACACTTGACCACAGTGAAGGGAAAACACCCTGAGCTTTTACAAGACACCCAAAATGATAAATTTCAAAGATGAATGCCAGAGTCGGTGTGCCAATGGTTCTTCTGAAGAGAAGAGGAACAGCTAACTTGTCCAGGACTGTGGTGCTGGAGGTCTGCAGGCCCAAAAGAACAAGTGTGGCCGCCCTGACCTAGGAGACAGGATTTCACTAAAAACAACATGCCCTAACCCAATTCTCAGCTACATTTTTCTGGCCGGAAATTTTGCTTAAAATTGTTTTTCCTCTGCTCAGTGAGTTCTTTCTATTCCCTGCAATCCCCATTGACACCGCTCTCCTTACTGCACGAGCCAGTTGGCTGCCTCCTTCTGAACAGCGTGGACACGCACACCCCAGGAGCCAGAAAGCAACAAAGCCCTGTGGAATCCTTACGATTGATGAAGATTAGACACAAGTGAGCATCTGAGACACAGGGATAGCCCTACCTGTGACTCAAGTATCCATTAGCTCCTCTGGGTGCCAACAAAGGCAATCACCAAAACAGCTCTAAAATAAACCACCACGGACATAGGGACTGGTTGTGCCTATATACACAACAGTTAACAAAGGAAACAGCTACTTTCTGGGCCATAATTCTATTTCCTGAGAATAAAAGATACTGAAGAAAACAAACACAGCCTGGAGGGTGTCATAAGTCTAGGCAGAACTGTTACTCTGGAGCCATAAGAGACAACCAAAGAAAAGTGGGTCCTCTGATGTTGTTTCTCAGCAGAATCCTACAAGAAAGCGGCCAGGGGAGCGGGGCGGGTGGTGAGCGCCAAGAAGCTGGGCAAAGAGTAAGCCAAAGCAAATCCCAGCAGGCCTCGGGAACACACCCACACCCCTGACAAGTACGACATGAAGTGAATAGCTGGGTTCTTTCTAGGAGATCAGGGGCAAGAGAGGCCTAGGCCATGTTTTTCCTGCTTTTCCCCAGCAGTGGCTAGAGTGGCTCCAGGCCATGGAGTGCGTATGCATCCTGAGAGCTGTGGCAGGCAGTTGACAACACTGGATACACAAAAACAACAGGTCAGCACAGGACTCAGCTAGCAGAGGTGCAGGGAGCAAACACCCAGAGCACATGCGGCTCCACGGTGCCTGATGCACCAGTTTACTGAGTAGCTGTATGGCACGGCTCCTTTACTTCCCTCTGGCAAATGGCTGTCATACTTTACTACAGTAAGTCCACCTTTCTCGACAACGGCGTCGTACAACGTGAGACTCAGCCATCCGACATTAATATATGTATTACTGGAATTGAGCTTTTTAAAAACATAACTGTTAGGAAACTCTGAACCTAAGTCTACATAGCAACTTTAGGCAACAAGGAAATGAAATTATGATTTATTAATTTACATAAAAATTACTTTTTACATTAAGGAATAATTTTCACAATTGTTAAAAACAGTTTGAAGCTGTTACTACTGGGGCTCGTGGGGAAGGGTCTGCTCTTCGATCACCTGCTTCACCGCCTCTGCCAGCTTTAATCGGTCCACTTTATCTGTGAATCCACGACCTGAAAGGCAAGAAACAACAAGGAAGGTCAGCACGACTCCTTCTGTGCCGAAATTCACCCCACACTGTCCAGAGCAGTTCAGATGCCCTGAGCAGTTTCACTAAACCAGAGATCACTGTATGTCTGACGATGGACTCATACCCAAGTATGAGTCCCAATCATGTATAAGAAATATAGAATGACAGGCCAAAAATTAAAACAGGAATGTCACAAAGGAGCAGACAGCAGGCTTGCCTGGGCACTTGCAGTAGGGTGCACGCACACACACACACACACACACACACACACACACACACACACACACGGCCCCTTGCAGAGCTCTGGCCTCTGTCAAGCCGCTGTGCTAGCCTGCGGCAGGCAGGGCAGTGTCTCACCGTTCCAGCTGAAGCTCTGCAGCGCGCCCCTCAGGAGCTGGCAGTCCCGGTTGTACTTGCAGGCCTCCTGCATGGCCTCGTTCAGCTTCTCATCTTCATTCTCTCCTGTGGGCGAGAATGGACAGGACGTTTCCCTTTTCTGCAGCATCGTGAGATTTCAGTTTTAAAAACGGAAGTACGTGCTATGCTGTCCAACCAGTTGAGAAATTATGAAACAGCATACACAAGTCACTAATGACTGGCTCCCCAGGGCTCCAGGCTTCCTTGTCTGCTGAGCTCTTCCAAGTTTCCATTGTCACACAAACGTGACAA